GTATATATATGCACACAAGTGTTCATCACAGCACTATCCACAACAGCAAAAAGATGCAGACAGCCTACTTGCCCATCAGTGGAAGAATGGGTAAACAAACTTTGGTACATACACAAAATGAAATTCTATGCTGCCCTGAAGAATAATGAAGATGCAAAACACCTCATAACATGGATGAATCTTAAGGATATTATGTTGCATAAAATTAGTCAGTCACAAAAGGAGAAATACTGCACAGGACCACTACTGTAAAAGACTAAGAAAAAGAACCCATATTAAAGGGGGAGTGGGGATGGGGAGTGAGGTGGTGTTCTTTGCTGGTTGCTGGGATGTGGGGGGTGGGGTGAAGGTAAGGAGGAGAAGGTGAAGCACAGGACAGAGAACAGACACAGGATAGTTTGGGTGCTGGGAAGGGGGACAATATACAAGAAGGGGAAGGGTAATGGAAGAACAAAGCAGAAGGGTGAACAGTTAGGCAGGTTTGCATGGGCTAAGTGGGACAGAGGTAAATAATGATATATGCACAACCTTGGAACAACAGGGCTCTGAGATACAGGGATTGAGACATTGTTGGAATGGGGAAAGGGTGAAAAATGTTAAGATGCTTGACTGTCCTTTGAATCTTGGTTTCCCTGGCATACCATTACAAAATAGACATTGGAGGGGGAGAGAAAGAAATAGGCAGAAATATCACCATAGGAAGCTTGTAAGTCCGTCTTCTGCCTATAACTGATTGGAATACCTAAAATGGGGCTACAACATGCCCAGTGAAGGAGGCTTCCTGAGGAGCCTCTGCATTACATAAGACAATAGGTGGAATTCTGAACCGCATCCAGAATCTTCAGAGGTGGGAAATTCCCACTTGACAGGACGGGCAGACCAGCCTGGAGCAGCTAGAACAGAAGATACTTCTTGAAAGAAAGACCTACAGGAAAAATACAAAACAATGTAAGCAGACCGACTGATTACTACAAGTACAAGCAAGTTGCTCGCCGAGGAGACATCAAGGCAAGTGGTCAGGTCCCCTCAGAGCAAACCCCCTTCCAAGACTAAAACTCAATGGGAATACATGCTCTGATTGGTAACCACATTCGCAACTGATAAGGGGGAAGTGAGGGAAAAACAGCAATGAAGCTGCGAGCTAAGCCCTAAAATGTTCAATAGCATTTTGTGAACCTGGGTGGAGATCTGGTTGGCCAGCAGTGTGCCAAGACCTGGGGACTCTTGGGCCCACAGTCAGTGGCATGGCCACAGAGGACTAGAGTGGAGAGTGAAGCGTCCAGCTGATAAGAAGAGAGGGCATATACACAAGAACACCCACACTTGCAAATGATACCCACTTGACCTGGCTTCAATGACTGGATGATCAGAGCTCAACTAGAAGAAAGAAGAAAAAAAGAGTAATCTGATACAACTGGATGAACCTGACCTACACCTATGGCTGCAGTAGCTCAAAAGAGGGAACAAATCTTTATAGCAAGGATCATTCCCACCCCCTCCATATACAGAGTAGACAGGGAGGGGCAACTTGGACATTGGGTACCCAAGATGGGGGGCGGGCTACAAAGGCAAGAAGTGACTGGCTTACAAGTTTTCAAGAGGGAACCTAGATCCAGAGGGCACGGAGGAAGGTAGAATCTCCACTGAGTGGTATCCAATCTGTCTAGGTGGGGCTGAGGAAAGGAAATGCAGCTAGGTCTCTTGTGATACAATAGTGGATAATTGTTATCAGGACTGATTATGAGGGTTGGAAATGTAAAGGTAGATGTTTTGTAGCAAGGAGAGGAGTGATTAACTTTTCAGTCTAGGAACAGAGGTCACTGGAACCATCAAGGGAGAAGAGCGGAGAGAGCGGGACCCTACCCAGAGAAGCAGTGACGCCAGAAATGGAGGCAGAGGCAGAGACGATGATGTGGAGAGCTGGAGCAGCTGGGGACTTTAGACCCAGAGAGGGAGAGGGGCTGTGTGCTGACGACTGGGGGGCGGGCTTGTAGGGTATACCCTTTGGTTGGTTGATGATGCATGGAGGGGGCAGTCACCATGGCAATGAAACGATATACTATAAGATGAATGTAAAACTAATGTTCTCCCGTGCACACTATCACATAATTCACAACAAAACGTTTAAAAAAATTAAAGTAAAAGCTACATAATAGAAAAAAAAATGCTAAGAGAAGCTAAGACAATGTGACCTTTAACCCTATTATGACCAAATTATTTTCTGCTTTGTCTGATTCGTTGATGCCATGTGTTTTCAGTAATTAACAAATAAGTGAATTTTGAACTCACTGCTGTCCATTCCAACTCACAGCAAACATATAGGATAGAGTTGGATTTCTAAGGCTACAATCTTCATGAAAGCACACTGCTACATCTTTTTCCCTCGGAACGGGTGCTGGGTTTGAACCAACAACATTTTCATCAGTAGCTGAGTGCTACAAATACTATGCTACCAAGACTGCTCACTAATGGGAGACGAATTAGGATACACACTAAAAACAAGAGTTTTTATACCATGGATTTTGATACTATTGCGGAGAACACTGTATCCCAAGTGGAATCGGGTAGCAGGATTGATGGAGCGAGGCCTGTTTCTCCAGAGTCTCACAGTTACGCAGTTCCCTGCCCCTGGTGCCAGCATGTACTACAAGTCGGACAAGCGCATCCCAAGAAAGTTGAGAAGCAGAAAATATAAGTGGGCACTGTCCGTCCTGTGGAACACGACAGGGTTAAATAAAGGTTTAAAATGAGCATCGGTCAAACGCGATGTCTAAAAAGCTAATTGCTAATGCCTTACACATGATACAGCAGTTTTGTTAATGGAACAATACTCAGATCCAGGGTAGCCGCATCAATTAGTGACTTTCACTTGAAGCAGCTGGCTAACAGACCCTCAGCGTCACCACTCAGACTGTACGCTGTGTACGTGAAAAGAAAACCACAAACTGCCACTGAAACTGCCAAGTGTGTTTGCTATTTAAAAAAGAATAATCATCAATCAGGATTAAAAGCCTCAAAGCTCCTGCCAGCAGGGGGAAAAAATTACTCCGGGTCTGCTCTGAGTTGGAATTGACTAAATGACAGTGGACGTGGTTTTCCGGTTTAGTGCAAATGCATGTCCTTCTGGCCCTCACAACCATAACCCAGGACACTCCGAACCTGACTACAGTCCAGGCTGCAGCGACTCAGACTTCGAAGACTGCTATCTAGATGGCTGGAGTTTTCTGAAAACTCTTTACAAAGTGTCATGGACAATACAGACGGAAGGTGATGGATGTTATTGTATCAGCATTCAGTCACAACAAAAACAAGGGAATGTGCTCAAGAAATGGGCAGAGCACGAACAAAGGCAGGTTCCAAGAACACACAAGTCAAAAGAATTTCTGACAATGTCTATAGGTCTCTCTAAGCCAGAGACTCTCAGCAGAGGAGTGACTCTCAGCCGAGGAGTTCCTCATCTTTTCTCCTGCCAGTATCTGGAGAAATGTTGGGTTGGCACACTAGACGTAATGTAGGGGGCAGAGGTCAGTAGCGCTACTAATATTTTACAGGCCTAGGACGCCCCCCCCCCCCCCCCCTCTTTGCGCCCCCGCCCCCCCCCCCCCCCCGGCAGAAAATTTCCAATTATCAACAGAATGAAAAAACCTGCTCAAAGCTCAGAACACTCACAGGATTCTGGAGTGATAGCAAAAGCTTTTAAAAGACGTAGAATCATAAAGTCCAGTGCTCAAGGCCTGCGTCTACCACGTCCTACTGCTGGTTTATGTTTCTTACCCCTCTGGAACTGTGTCCTCAAAACTGTAAAATGGTCAATCATATTACAGGAGTTTTGTGAGGGTTAAGCTAAAAGGCTGAGATTGGTTTACATTAAAAAGATGGTGCGCTAACGGAACCACCAATTAACAATATCCAATTATAAAAAGGCTCTTTGCAAAGACCGGTACTGCCTTTCAGTGGGCAAAATGCTGCACCTTGGGTTCCAGAAGCGTCTCCAGGGAGGACGGGCTGCTATGAGTTCAAGCCTGTTGGCATTCTGAGTTTGGTACATATTCAACCTCCCTCCAGCTCCACTACTGGAGCTGACCCCAAACACAGTCCTTAGACTGTGAAAGATATAGAAGTTTCTGGAACGTGCCAGACCTTCCGTGCCCTCCCTGTAACAACCAAAACCAAGATCACCTGTAGGGCTGGAAGGAACTGGAGCTCCACGAACCACCAAAACCCACACTCTCTGCCCCCTGACACTGGCCCCTCATTTACGCACTAGAATCTTCCCCACGAACATCAAGGAACGTCCCACTGCGTTAGAGAAGCCACAGGACCCTGAAGAAGACCCACTACCATTCCTCTCTGGTTCAATTCAAAACCAGGTGGCACAAGCCTGCGGTGGGACAAGTCAGGGCTTGGGGACCCTACGGGGTGGTCAAGGGTCAGGAGACAGTTTGCACGCAGGACTTCTGCGCTTTCCCGTAAGCATGCTAACATCTGAAAAGTCAGAACCATCCAACACCTCCACCTGCCTCGGGCATGGAGGGTCGCCCCCGCCCCTCAGAGTGCCCCTCCAACTGCACTGGTCTACCTGATGTACACAGGTGCACCGGTGACGGGGGCAGTAGGCCAACCATTCTGCGGGACTCACTCAGGTTTGCACTCCAGAACATTCGAAGCCGTCCCAAATACTGCACCTTTTCATAGTTGCACCTTTTTCCGCGACGGGCGTGCACGTGAGGGTCGCGGACCAGAGGGAAAGGGGCGGGACTTGAGGGCGGGGCGCAATGCGTGGGATGGGACTAGGCTAAGGGGGCGGGGTGAATCTTGAGGGGCGGAGCGAGGCCGAGCATGGAAGGAAGTAGGGGCGGGGCCTCGCCTAGCAACGGAAGCGCAAGAGTTGGAGGCCTTTCCGCCGCGTGACGTGAACTACAGCTCCCACAACACCCCGCGATCTCGCGCTTCTTTCTCTCGTCGCGAGAAGAAACCGCTAAGGGCGTCTACGCGGACAAACGGAAGTGTAGGTGACGGTCCGCGACACCACCGCCAAGCTGGGAACCGGGGAGATGGCCGAGACCGACCCCAAGAGCGTCCAGGATCTCAATTCCGTGGTAAGGCCGCGCCACCGGTGCCCTGGAGATCCCGTATCTTGAGGCTCTGCCAGACCGCGGGGTGTAGGCCCTTCCGCCTTCCGCCCACGACCCTCCCCGTGAACCCCCTGGCGACACCCCGACCCCGCCTCGATGCCTCCAAGTCACACAAACCCCAAAACCCCACCTTGGTTGGATCTTCGCGGGCCCGCCTGGAAGGGCCCTGCCGCCGGCTTCCGCGTCTGCTCCCCCGCTTCCAGGCCGGCCCCGCGGGACCCCCGAGCTGTCTCAGGAGACCCTGCTCTTTCCCCAGGTCAAGACTCTGCTGCAGCAGATGCAAGACAAGTTCCAAACCATGTCCGACCAGATCATTGGAAGAAATATCCTTTGTCCTGGGTGTCAGCGGGGATGGGCCCGATTTGCCGGCGGAGATCGCCAAGATGGACAGCCTTGGGGACCCGAAGGAAGGAGCCGCTCGCTGGGAATCGGACTCCACGGGACCCAGGGCCTGGTTTGGGTGGATGGACGGGTGGTTGGCCCACGAGTCCCCGCCGATCCTCTCCTGGGTTTTTCCTGAGCCTGGTTAACCTGTGCTCCAAGAAGCGCTGAGCTAGGGCTAGGGGCACAGAGTTGGGCTAGACAAAGCCCTGGCCACAAGGAACTTAGCAACCCGAAACCCACTTCCTTCTGGTGGATTCTGCCTCCCAGCATCACTGTGGGACGGTAGGGGGTTTCCAAGGCTGTGATCTTTAAAGAAGCAGGAGGCCGCCTCTTTGTATCAGGTCTAACTGGTGGGTTTGAGTCACCAACGTTTCTGTTGGCAGCTGAGCGCTTTAATCCCTGTGCCATCAGGGCTCCTTAAGGATCTAAGACTTCCTTAAGGAAGTGATGGCTCCTGACGGTGGGCCCAGCACTTAGTGTCCCACTTCAGATAGTCCACGGGACTGGAATCATAGGCGGTAAGAGTCTCCATCTTTACTTTGTCCAGGAAAGTGCTTTAAAGAGCTACCCAGAGTCCCATCACTGGTGATGGGGAAGGTTGCCATTAGATCCTGGGCCGCATTGGCCCCAGTGTATCCAAAGCAAATGGGAAAACCCTGGGGAAGCGGGTAGGAACTGGGGATGTGGGGATGGTGATGCCTGTTGTCTTTAACCGGACCACTTGATGACATGAGCAGTCGCATTGATGACCTGGAGAAGAACATTGCAGACCTCATGACACAGGCTGGGGTGGAAGAGCTGGAAGGTGAAAACAAGATCCCCGCCACACCGAAGAGCTGAAGGTGAGCCCCGGGCCTAATGTGTAAGAAGGAAAACAGGAGTCTGCAGAGAGCCTCCAGCCGCTAAGTATTCTCTGGATGGAGGTAAACTCCTAGATTCGTTCCGCAAGCAGCCCTTGTACTCTCTGCCCCCTGCAGACTCCATGTTCTGACTTGAGTCCTTACATGCTTCTCTAGGCCTCTCCTCTGGTTTGGCCATCAGATATCCCACACAGCCAGGAGAACATCCTCAAGAAGTAGGAGACTGAAGACTTTCCAAAAGGGAGACTAGAAAGGGATGGGAGCAGGAAACAGTCACCAGTTCGGTTGTACAAAAGTCTTATTTTTGCTAGAATGTGCTGCAAAAACCCATGACTTATTCGATAGAGAATCCTGAAAGGATTTATAGTTGATAAGTCTGCGTATCCTTTTGTTGTGTGTCATCACATAATGATAAAATTGCTGGGTTTCCCTTTTCCAACAGGTCGGTCATAATTGGCACTGGGATGTAGGATGCTATTTTCACAAGCCAACGGAAGATCACATGACTCTTTGCACCTGACTACTACGTGTAGTAAGGTTTTATATGATAAAATGTATGTTCTTACTATAAATCATACTTAGTTTTCAGAGTGTTTTCTTCCCCAGCCCGTCAACTCCCAGTTTCTTGAACATGGTACCTTTACATCTTGGACCGTGGTCAATTATGCTGTTAAATATCAAACTCTAATCCTCTGGCATTTCCTACATAATACTGTCAAGATTCTCGTGTATTTTTGTCATTTTCTGTCACTCCTTTTGTAGTACAGTAGTGCTGTTTGGTAAAAATTGCTATGTGATTTTTTTTTCCTTAGACAAATATTCAATCCTTGCATTCTAACTAGACTTTGTGAAGTAAGACATTAACCGGGTTTTGGGTTCTCAATTCTCAGCACACGGTGATTAGGGAACTAGCACCAAGTAGTGTGTGGGCGACACTTTTCAGATGGCTGAAAACATTTCAAAGTTATCCATTCCTATAAACATCTGGCACACCTGCAATGCCGAAACTCAGAAGTGACCCGCGGCTCTTTTCTATTCTAAGTGCCTGAGATGGATACTAAAGTCCATGAAAAGTAACTACTGCCATTTGAACGGGTTAGCATTGTTCAATATGGAAAATAACTGAAGAGCCAAATGGAATGAAAAGTACTTGTGTTAGAATTTTGCATGAGATTCTAATACTTGAGTAGAACCCTATGTTGTTCATCCTGAATGGTTATTCGTTAAAAAAAAAAAAAAAAAAACTGGCAGGATTTAAGAATCATTCCATCTTTTCCTTAAACTACTGATTGAAAAACGAAGCACAAATTACCTAAAGAAAAGGGCAAGAGCCCAGCTCCAGTCTAGTTGTGTGGCCAGAGAGCGATGGCTGGCTTTGTAGGAGGCGTGCATTTTTACAAAAGCCCCTTTTGCTAAAACCATTTCTTAGTGAAAGTCTTGCCCAGTGGCCATGTTAGGGCTTAGGGTCAACAGGGATCGTAACTCTTCCACTCAGAACTCCAGCAGCAGGCAGGCTTCACCCTCCAGGCCAAGCTGGACGACTGGGCTGGTCACAGCACAGTGACTTTCTGTATCAAAACATTAAGAAGCTGAGGAGTGCTGTGTTGCCTCAGAGAGAGGAGAGAACTCAGTGAGCACTGTTGTTTTATGTAGAGTTCCCTGTGTCCGCACTCATGGTGGTATGTAAGACAAAGTCTTCCCATCCTCACAACCAGTATTCTGGCTGCATCGATCAGAAATGAAGAACTCATTTGTCCTGGTATAAATTATATGGGGACAAGCTGAAGTAATGCCATCTGCCAAAAGAATGGAGTAACTGCAGTTACGTCCACAGCCTCGCGCAGCCGCAGCCAGCCAGAGTGCTGCCGTAGCCCTGACCATCGCCCTCTAGCCAGCACAGGTGAGGCCTTCGTGCAGGTGTCCACCAGCCTAGGAAATAGCCGGTTAGTTGCAGCCACGTGGCCTGTTGCTGGAGTAAGGGTAGTCAGGACTTGGGTAAAAGAAGAAGGATTCTAAAGGGAGGCTTTCCTGCCCTGAATAAAGGTGCCTGAAATCCTGCTGTTGAAACTTCCTGTGTGTCCAGATTGATTTGTCCAGTGTTCCACAAATGCAAACACATGCACACACTGCAAGGGAGGAGGTACATGGAGCCAGAGGCCATGCGGGCAAAGACCACGGAATGAGTGGTGGTTGTCTCTGGAAGGGAGGGCTGGGGTCAGGGACCGGTATTGAAGGACTGCTACCTCTAAACGCATGGCAGGTGAGCCAGCTTCTCCAAAGCTCCCAGGACACCTGTCCTGGAAGGAGGTGCATTCAGGGACACTTGGGTTAACTCTCTGCATTCACTGCTTGAAAAGTATCCATGCAAATTTCTGAAAGTCCTGCAGAGAAAGCAGGCTTGCCACCCCCCACATTTCCGAGTTGGGGGAGTGCAGTGCTCTACTGTAAGCACTGGACCACACTTCAAGGTCAGTGAGTCAGCCCACCAGCTGCCCTGCAGGGAGAAATATAAGCTTTCTGCACTCACAAAGATGTACAGCCTCCAAAACCCAATTTAGGGTGGGGTGGTGCTGCAGGTAAGCACTCGACCGCAAGGTCAGCAGTTCAAACTCACCAGCCATTCCTCGGAAACCCTGTACCAAGATCGCTATGAGTCAGAACTGGCTTGATAGCACTTAACAACAACATGAACCCAATATAAGGTTGTTCAAATTCAGAACTTTCCAACAATTTCCAAGTTGTTTGGCTAAGGCTCCTTTATGCTCAGCGTTTAACATTTCATTGAACCGTTAGGTGCCATGGAGTCACTTCCCAATCATAAGGCCCCTCTGCACACCAGAAGGAAACACTGCCTTGTCCTGGGCCCGCGTCACACTTGTTGCTGTGCTTGAGCCCACTGTTAAAGCCACTGAGTCATTCCACCTCATCCAGGGTCTTCCTCTCTCTAACTTAACCATCTACCAAGCTTAGGAGCTCTGGTAGCATCATTCAAAAGCATCAATTCTTTGGTCTTCACATGCATATGTTGTTGTCAGGTGCCATCGAGTCGGAACCGACTCAAAGCGACCCCATGCACAGCAGAACGAAACAATGTCCAATCCTGGGCCAACCTCACTACTGCCGCCACACTTGACACCATCAATGATGTCACCTGGCTGATCCATCTCGGTGGGGGTCTTCCTCTTTTTTTCTGACCCTCCACCTTACCCAGCATGACATCCTTCTCCAGCGACTGTTCTCTCCGGACAATGTGTCCAAAGTATGAGAGACGAAGCGTAGTCATCTTGGCCTCCAAGGAGCACTCTGGCTGCACTTCTTCCAAAACAGATCTGTTGGTTCTTTTGGCAGTCCATGGTACTTTCAGTATTCTCCTCCAACACCACAACTCAAAGGCATCAATTCTTCTACGATCTTCCTTATTCACTGTCCAATTTCGCATCCATATGAGGTTATTGAAAATACCATGGCCTGGGTTAGGCACACCTTAGTCCTCAAGCTGACATCTCTACTCTTCAATACTTAAAAAGTTCCTGTGCAGCAGATTTGCCCAGTGCAATATGTCGTCTGATCTCTTGACTGCTGCTTCACATGCATATGAGGTAAGTGAAAAAAAAAACACAGCGTAGGTGAGGCACACCTTAGTCTTCAATGCGATAGCTTTGCTTTATAACACTTTCAGGATATCTTTTGCAGGAAATATGTCCAATGCAAAACCTTTGATTTCCTGACTGCTTCCATGGTTGTTGATAATGGACCAAAGTAAAATGAAATCTTCAACAACTTCAATCTTTCCCTTATCATGATGTTGTTTATTGATCCAGGCATAAGGATGTTCGTTTTATGTTGACTTTGAATCCATAATGAAGCCTATATTATTTGATCTTCACCAGTTAAGTGCTTAGAATCCTTTTGGCTTTCAGCAAGCAAAGTTGTGTCTCATTTGCATATCACAGGTTGTTAATGAGCCTTCCTCCAATCATGATGTCATGTTCATAGACTCCAACTCACCCTGACACACCCTAATTTTAGAACACACAATATTCCCTTGTTATGTGTTCCAACAGTTGTCTCCATCTGTGTGCAGGCTCTGCCTGAGCACAATTAAATGTCATGGGATTCTCATTCTTGACAATGTTATCCTTAATGTGTAATGCTTCACACTCTCAAATGGCTTTGCATAGTCAATAAAACACAAACATCTTTCTCTGCTTTGGGCCAAGATCCATCTGATGGGTCGGTGATACCCTTCATCCTGTTTGAGTTTCTGGCACTTCCCTGTTGATGTAATGCTGCAACCATTTTTTATGTATCTTCAGCAACATTTTACTTGCATGTGATATTAGTGATATTGTTCAGTGATTTCCGCATTCTGTTGGTTGACCATTTTTTTAGAATGAGCCTAAACATGGATTTATTCCAATCAATTGGCCAGGTGGCTAGCTGTCATCCAAGTTTCCTGGCAGAGACAGGTGTTTCCAGTGTTGCATCTGTTTGTGGAAACATACCAGTTGGTATTCTGTCAAATCCTGGAGGCTGTGTTTCACCAGTGCCTTCAGCACACCCTGGGCTTTTTCATTCCATACCGTGGGTTCTTGAAGTTCTATGCCACTTGATGAAACAGCTGGAAATCTGTTCTTTTGGGTACTCTGACTTGGTGTATTCCTTCCATCTTCTTTTGATATTTCATACATCATTCGAAATTTTGCCCATAGAATTCTTCAGCGTTCAAGCTCAAGGACGGTATTTGTTCTTTAGTTATTTCAACTTCAAAAATGCCCAACATGTTCTCTTTTCAGTTTTTTAACTCCAGATGTTTGAACATTTCATTATAACACAAGAGATCTTCCAAATATTCATGGAAAATTTCCCTTAACTCTTCATTCCATTTTTCTGAAGCCCCCTTTCATTTTATTTTGTTGCCTCCTGCCACCCTTTGAAACCTCCTGTTTAGTACTTTCATTTCCTCTTTTCTACCAGACACTTG